GGCACATGCCCAGGTTGCAGGCTCTCAATCCCCAGTGGGGGTCATGCAGGAGGCAGCTGATCAATGATTCTCTCTTTCTCTCCCTCTCCCTTCCTCCGTGAAATTCAAAAGCTATACGGAAACACATATCCAATACACCTAAAAATCAAAAGGTCTCCCTACTTAGCCCTCCTTGCTTACTTAACCTTTCATCCTCATTTGACCTAAATTCTTTTAGGGTCACCAAGGATTTCTAAGCCAAATCCAAAGGCCACTTCTCATATATTATTCTGAACTCTGTTACATTTGGCTAATAATCCCATTTTTTCAGATTATTCTCTTCCATCCTTATTTCTCCACTAACTTCTTTCTTATCCTCCTCTTCTTGCCATAGATTGTCTTAAGCATCCTGTTACATTTGTCTAAATCAAACCACTCCACTTTGCAGCTCATCATGGAAATGTTTGCCCCAGTTATGCAGTTAAGGCTCTAATTTATATCTGAATTCCCGTAATACTGCCATTTCCTGTTTGATGAATCTATTTCATTCTAGGCTTAATCACTTCTGGCCTTATCAATTCCAACTGTTGCTTGAGCCTATCCAGCCAGCACTCACTTCTCAGCAGTTACGTCATCCCAAAGGGTGGAATACAAGACTACTGATGGTATGTTGTAACGATTTTAAGTGGTCCACAGAGGAATATTCAAAATTATATTTTAAAACATGTTGGGGAAAAACTGTAAAACCAAATAATCATGTACATTTTTCTTTTAATTAAAAGACAATTGACTGAATTAAAGAAAGATATTGACATATGATTTGAAGATAAAGCAAAAATTGTGAATGACTTGGTTGAGAAATACTCGCCACTGGGAAATCCATGTAGCACAGAAGTTAAGCATTTGGACTCTGGATCAATGATTTGAATACCACTTACTAGCTAAGTAATTTTGAACAAATTATTTAAATCTCTTTAAATCCCACATATATAGTGGGAATAAAATAATCCACCTCCTGGGCTTACTATATGGATTGAAAGAGATAATGTACAAAATGTTCTTAGCTCAGTGCATGGCATGGTAAGTGCTCAACAAATATTAACATTTACAATTATTCTTGATCTCTTCTGGCCATCATGCCTTCACTTGTAATCAACTGGGCAGCCAATGTATACTATAGGCAATTTTCCATATATGAATTTTCTGCCCCAAATTTTCCTTACCTGTTTGTATAACCCTTATTTTTATCTTCTGGTATGAATAATAATAAAACAAAATATCACACAATAACTTCTATTATTCATAACCCTTAAGACTGTGGATACCTTGGCAGTGGGACCCAAAAGCCATTTTCCTCTAATTCACTGGGCCTTATAAAATTAAAAGAATCTCTGATGCAAAAATGAAAAGAAACCTCACGATGCATAGTACATAAGCTATTTGAAAGCTCTGCTACTATTCTCATGGGTACATAAAGCGGGGAAAATGACAGGGTATTCTTTTGCTCCACTAAAACATTCATCAGCTGAACCTGAGTTGTGGGTCTATTGTACTGTTTCCTAATCTCATTCATTCAATGACCCATAATAAACTCTAGGTATATGCCAACTACTATACAATGTAATGGGGGCACGGAAACAGTGTAGAAACGGAAAACAGATCAGTACTGGTGAAAACAAACAAGTAAACTGAAAATGACCTGATAAAATGCTATATAAATAATATCCATCAGTGCTTTCAATACTAGCTATGCTCTATAAACGCTGATTAGACTCCATCCTTCTGTAATGCGGAGCACCAGCAGCACCATAGAGGTGAGTACATTACATTACATTAACACTAATTGTAGTTATTTTGTGTTCAGACTCTAGGTATCTGCTACCCATATCAAAGTTTCTGTCTCCCAACTAGACAAGTGCTGAAACTCAGTAACAGCCCTGGTTTAATCTGATTTGTGAACAAATACGTGCACACACAAGCCTGAAACCATGACTGGCATTTGGTCAAAATAACTACTAGAAATACAACTACTAAAAGATCAGTATATATTTAGCCTTTCTGGAGGTCGGTAAAAAACACACACAATAGAAAATTTACTGAAGTTAACCTCTCTAGAGAATACTTTTACCCACAAAGATGTCCTGGCTGATGCATCAATTGCAATATTGAGAAATTTAAAATGTCAAGACTTCAGCCGAAACCGGTTTGGCTCAGTGGATAGAGCATCGGCTTGCGGACTGAAAGGTCCCAGGTTCGATTCCGTTCAAGGGCATGTACCTTGGTTGCGGGCACATCCCCAGTAGGAGATGTGCAGGAGGCAGCTGATCGATGTTTCTCTCTCATCGATGTTTCTAACTCTCTGTCTCTCTCCCTTCCTCTCTGTAAAAAATCAATAAAATATATTTTAAAAAAATAAAATGAAATGTCAAGACTTCTAAGCAACAGTTAACAGACTAAGATAAGCTTTCTTTGTGTTACCCTATTTATAAGGTGACAAGTCTCAATTTACTGAAAGTGTATTAGGTATAACTCAAGTCAGATCATTTCTAGATCTTGTTCACTGGAAGAATAGGGTTCTGTACCAATTTGTGTAACAAATGTCAATGATAAGTTCTTACACAAATATGGTATAAGTATTTGTACAAGTGACTTATAAATTGAAGTAGTGTTTGGGGTGTGGGAGGAAACCATTCAGAGGGAGAGAGGGACATAACAGTATAATCTTCAAAGACATTTTACCAGTAAGAAAGGTGACATGGAGTAGAGATAGGCAGAGACAGGGGCAGGAATAAGCCAGGACTTCTGTATTTCAGCTATAGGTAATATACTGATTCCAGGGTTACCGATTGTACAGCATGAAGAAGAAATCTTTAAGAAACATAATTCAGTATGGAAGCGTGAACAGCCTTAAAAAATAAAAAGAGGACATGAAATCTATTTCTTCAACTTTCCAAAGAATATTTTCTCCATTCTGAGAAAATGCAGATTACATACTGCTTGGGAGAGAGTATCTTCTATCAATATTCTGCCACTAGCCCTCCACTACTATTGACCTTTTATTAGGTACTGAGCACAGTCATAAACCCTCTACATACATTATCTTTGTCAATCCTACAGCAAGCCCTCCAGGAAGGTACTGTTATTATCACCATCTCCATTTTAAAGATGAGGAAATATTTTATCAGTAAGAGTCCAGAAACCTAAAAAATTATAACTGATACTGTAGTTAGTTTTACTGACTGTCCTTGAAATAAAAAAAGGTACAAAAATTAGCTTGTATCCCATCCCTAAAGTAGCTATAATCCATTTTTTACACCTTCACATACCATGTTTCTATACTGAAGTCAAACAGAAGAAACTAGGTTAATAAAGCTGTATCTTATTTAATTTCCATAGTTCATAAAATTACAAGGCAGGGTGGCAGTTTGATGGTTTAGGATCCCCTTGGGTTCAGACAGTCTGGATCTGAATCTATACAGCATCACCAACACTGCTGTATGACCTTGGTCGAACTGCTTTCATCTCTTAGATTTCATTTTCTCACCTTTAAAATGGGGATGATGATAATAACAGCACCGCCCGGAAAGGCTTGCTGTCAGATTTAAGAAGGTAATGTGTACGAAGAGCTGATTACTGTGCTCAGTACACAGAAAAAGGTCAACTAACGGTGGAAGGCAGAGCAGCCACATATATTATTAACTCACCAGACCAAAACAGAAAAGGTAAAAAGCCTGTGTTCTGAAAATCCTCTATAGAAAAGGAGAGGCTATGAGACCACATGCTTCAGCTGTAACGCAAACTAACGTATGCCCAATGGTTTTTAGTAGATCAATGCATTTGAGTTGGGTCAGAAAAGATGCTGCAGTGCATCGGAGACACACACCTAAAAATGGCTCCAGTCCGAGCAGCATCTTAATTACCAATAGAGAAGGTTAAAGCTACTTTTAACCAATGCCGGAGGAAGGCTTGGTGGGCGCTGACCTATCACCCTATCCTTCCTATTAGCAAGGAAATAAGCGATCGAGCACTGAATCACGGATCCTGAGGCTTCCAGTGCATTCCAAGGGAAATCTTTCAGCAGGGCAGCCTTGGGACAATATTCAAGGACCCTAGCCTAGCGGGGTCAGAATCTCTGAGCCTACGCTCCTCCATCAGCCAATGCGGACATCCGGGTCGCTCCAGAAGCCAGCACACAAGCATGCAGGGCATGTCCAAAAAATATCTCAAATCAAGTCAAAACAAATGCACATCCCTTTACAGGAATCTGACGCATTCCTCTCGCGCAGAGAAGAAATGCTCAGTGTTCCTATTGGCTCTCCTGCCCCTTTCTTCCAGGCCCATCATGGGGGCCGTGATCGTCACGCCGATAACTCGGACTGTACCGCCAAGCAGGGAGCTGCAGAGTGGGACCGACCCCGCAGGTCAGCGAATGGAGGCCTCGGGGGCGAGAGCCTAGCGAACCCTCCGCGGGAGTCGGGGCAGCGCGTCCCCAGCGAAAGGAGGGTCGGTCCCGACTCCCCAGCGCGCCGCTCCCGGAGTCGGGACTGAAACCCGGGCTCCCGAACCCCGCTCCTTGCAATTCCACCCACACTGCACACGCACCGGAGGCGGCTAGGAAAGGCCCCGGAGGAGCCTGAGGCTATTGGGGGAGGGGGGGCGCACGCCCCACGCAGGAGAGATCGCGACCCTCGCCCATCCCGCTGGATGGAAACCCCCTTCGCCTGCCGGCCGCGCGCGCCGTTCCCCCGCCGGGCCGACCCGGGGCGGGTGGGAGAGGCCGACTGGTCCGGAACTCCCGCTGCAGACCACATGGGGCGGGTCTGACTCCGTTTTCTCGCTCCCGATCAGGAGGCCGCGACTTCCCGGGGCACGGAGAGGGTGGTCGCCGCAGAGGAGGGAGGGGATGCCCGGAACCCAGGCCCTCTCCACGCGGCTCCCCAGTGTCGGGTTGCTCCCACGCCCGCCCGCCCCGATGGGGCCCGCGTTGATCTCGGCTCCTCCGCCCGCGCGGCTTTCCTTACCGGCCAGGGTGTCGAGCCGAGCGTGTGTGTGCACTTCGAGGGTCTCCGCGAGCTCTGATCCCAGGAAGCAGGTGGCTGAAGGGCCACCCGACTGGCAGAGCCGCAGCTGCGGATGGACAAACCGCCAAAGCACTTTCGCTGCCGCCCGAGAGGGAGAGAGCGAGCGAGAAAAAGAAGCAAGATGGCGGCTAGCCAGCCCCTACGTATGACGTCATGCCGCGGCGTACGTAAGGCAATCGCCGCAGGACCGCCCTCGGCGCACAGACGGGCCGGACCACGTGAAGCCTCCGTGGCGGCGCAACCCCGGCGGAAGGCGACGTCGCCACCTGCTGGACGGAGGGACTTCTGAAGAGACCATGGCTATGCCTCACGGAAGGGAGCAGCACTCTGGCAGGTTTGGCAGTGTGTTTCAAAATTAAACTAGGAATCATCTTTAATCTTGATATTTGACAATATCTTGATTTTTTTTCAGAAAGGTACATGTTCAGTATTCATAATACCAAAACCTGCCGTTGATACAGACATAGATAAATGCATTATAAAACATCCATATTATGTAATACTTTTGAAGCCATTAAACTCAGAATAATATTTAATGACCAGAAAAATGCTCCTTACGCCATCATATGCCTGAGCAGTATAGAGGGAGTGGAGATAGAGAGAAGTAGACAGGTTTGGGATATATTTCGGAGCTAGAATATACTTTTCTTGTATGAGCTGATCGCTTCTAAATGGGCGGTGGGGAGTGTGAATTGAAGTGTCCATGACAAACGTGTAGATTAATGGCTAGAATAGCTGGGTGGATGACTGACATTTATAGAGACTATGGAGATGGGGGAAGAAAGGAAAACAATGTGGTTGGTAGAGCAATAAAAATTAAATATTAAAAAAAAGGAAGAATTAAAATGTGGACATGTTAAATCTGAGATGTTCGTGCAATGTCCAACTGTAGGTTAAGTATGTCAGTGACATGCATGTCTAGAGCTCAGAGAGGAGGTGGTATTGGAGACGGCGATTTCGTGTGTTTAAAAATGGTGGGAGATAATAAATTCTCAGAGACAGAGTGGGGGAGGGGGAGAAAACAGGGTCAGACCCAAGGAACAACAACATTGAGGGGTTAGGTGCAGGTGGAGCGCTTAGCAACTAACATGAAGGAGAAACCAGAGAACTGGAAACCCCAAAGAGGATGATGTCACAAAAGCAGGTAGAGCAGAGATTTACAAGAAGGTGTGAGCAATCAGCTCTGTTCAATGCTGCTGAGAGGTCAAGTCCCGTGAAGAAGGAGCCACAGGTGCCCATTGTGTTTGGCAATGTGGAGGTAGGTCACTGGTACCTTTTGCAAGAAATTTTGGTGGAGCAGTGAGGTCAGAAAGCCACATGGTAGTGAGCAAAATAGATGTTGAGAAACTGAAGACTCGATAAACAAGTCTTTCCAGATTGGAAGTTGTTGTAAACAAAGTAGTGCCTGGAGGGAATGTGGACTAAAGAGGGGGCATTCTAAAGTATTGGAGAGAGTAGGTCATGTTTGTCTGATGATGGGAATCATCCAAAAGGAGGAGGTGGGCAGCAATAAGGTAGCAGAGAGATGGGACCTAAAGGAGGCAAAGACATGGGAAGGTGGGAGGGTGAAAACAGAGCTGATCCAGGATTCAGCTTTGAAGGAGAAATAGGTACAACTCTAGGGACCTTTGATGATAGTTGACGGTGGAAACACTGATGGCTTCTCTTTTCTCAGTGAAGTAGGGGACACGGTATTCTGCTGGGAGGGCTGAGTGTGTGTGAGGAGGAGAGGATCCAAAAGTTAGCTCAGTGAGTGAAGAAGTAAACCTAGTGTGAGGAGCCCTGTAGGACTGGCACGCTCTGCAGAGAGCGTGTTGGAAGCCTCTGATTATGGATGTAAACTATGCGGTTCAGTTTATTTATATGATTTCTCCAGCAGTGGTCAGCTCTTTGGTACAGCTATAGAGAAGACAGATAGTAAGATTCCTCCGTGCTGGGTTTTTTTCAGGCAAGCTTAATGTGAAGCTTATAACTGAGAGACAATAATTATAATATTGTGTTTGAGCATGTGGTGTATGTGTAGAAAATGGTAACCGTGTCTATTTTATGAATTATCTATGGTATATATTTTTCCTATTACCATTTATCCCCTCTTCCACCTTCTCTGTCCCCACCCTAGAATCACCATACTGTTGTCCATGTTCTGCGGTATATTTTAAATCCAAAGACTTCCTGCCACTTCTTTTGGTTGGAACTGTCTTCCCCATCAATATGGTGGTAGAATTGTCACTGTAGCAATGTTAGAATAAATAAAATAATAAACAGAGGAAAATCACAGGCACTCCTCTCCCCCCACCCCCGTATCAATGGTCTTTTGAAATGGAAAAGCTTGGCTGCTATAGGGTCATTGCCTGCTGCTGACTGTCGCCAAGAGCACAGGGAAGCATTACCTGGGTGAATTTCCCGCAACCCTCCAGGATCCAGTCCAGGCTGTCATAGTCTCAGAAATATCTTCCTGTAGCAATGCCTAGCAGCTCCAGCATTCAGATGAGCATACATTAATCAAGGTCATGAAACAATGCATGTTAATACAACCAGAATATTCATGGATTGATTTCCAAGAGCTATCATTTATATACCTGAATACTAAAGACTGAAAAGCCAGTGCATTTTCTATATAGACTTCCAGGAAACCAAAGGCATTAATCAGAAGCTTGCTTGATGAGCACGGATTTGGAAGGAGTAGAGATCTGTGGTATAGCTTGTTCCTGATTCATCTAGCTCTATGACAGGATGAGTTTGTTCCAAAGATAGAAATACTCAACATTCCACATTGATCTCCAATACAATAGGGACTTCGTGCTGTGCTGTTGATTTGGGCTCCCTCTCTCCTTGATAGCACTGGTCCATGGTGCCCCTGTGTGCTCCTTTCTCTGTTTCCATGGCTACCCAAACCTCTTACTAATATTCTTTCACTAAAAATCAACTTACAGTCAAGCCAGGCCAGTTTGTGTGTGAAAGATGACTTTGCTTGCTTGTGCTCTTATCCATTGCATGTGATCTTAAAGTTTAGCGCTCAGAGAGCAGTCTTATTTCCCTTATTTCCAATATCTTGAGGAAAATCTATAGGTATCGGTACAATTTCCAAAGCCAAATAATATTCTTCTTTTATTTTTTTAAAATATATTTTATTGATTTCTTACAGAGAGGAAGGGAGAGGGATAGAGAGCTAGAAACATCAATGAGAGAGAAACATCGATCAGCTGCCTCCTGCACACTCCCTATTGGGTATGTGCCTGCAACCAAGGTACATGCCCTTGATCGGAATCAAACCTGGGACCCTTGAGTCCCCAGGCCGATGCTCTATCCATTGAGCCAAACCAGTTAGGGCTAATATTCTTCTTTTAAAATTTACTTTGTTTTGGCTTATTCACTCCTACTACTTCTTCAGTGTAAATACATTTGTCATAACAAAATATTTTCATGACACATTGAATGAAAACTTGTCATGTAATTTCAAGCTCTGCTTTTTAAACAATAATTTTAGAGTAACATTATCAAATTGCCAATTGGGGATATAAAATCAGGCACACTAGTTTCTTATTGAAAACCAGTGGATTCTCCAAATAGCATGACCTATTTCCTTTGTCATTGCCCAGCCTTATTAAGCTAATGGTTTTATTGAATTTCTACCCTTCTCATTGGGATTGATTCTATAAACCTGTAGGCACTGAAGACTTATGGGATATAAGTTTCCCCAGTAGCCAAAATTAGAGTGTTTCTGTGAAACTTTTCATAAGCCCAAATGGTGCAAAGCAAGAAAGCAATTACCACTAATTTACATGGAAAAATCTTTGAGTGTTCCCCCAAAATATCCTGCTAAATCAAATATCCTTAATTATGTCCAGTTTTACATTGAGCTAACACCCTTGCCAGCTCTCTTGCATTTTCCTGCTACCTTAGGACTCACCTTCCTAATGGATGCACAGAATCAACCGAGATAAAGCAGAGGTGCTCACAGACATGGTCAGAGCCCTGGCGGCTTTGAACTGAGATGCTGAGTGTGGCTCCTGAAAAGGAGCTCGCAGGGCCACTCTCACTGCTCAGGTGTGCGCTGCCCCTGTACACCTCACTGTCAAACGTTGGGCAGAACACTATTTTCACTTTGCCCTTTCACATAAAAGCGAAAATCCTCTTCAGATTTCTTTGGGTCAGCAAAAAGAGGTAATAATGGAGGTCGTTCATGAAAGCAAAGTGGTGTAATGTTAATTTTAAAAAAGCAGGGGAGACCTGTATTAGGGGAAAAATAAAAGGAATGATGAAGGCATCATGTGTTACTAGTTGCAATGTTTCTTAAACATTTAGGTGCACATGACAGTTTTGGTTTCTTTTCACCAGTGGTCTCTAGCAAATCATACTTAATAAAATCGAAACATTATAAGCCTGATGTAATGAATGCTGTAATACCCAAATACTGTATGAAAATGTAATCTTATTTATGAATGTCAACAGATATTATAACTTTGCTAATAAAGATAAGAAAAATATTGCCAGTGCTTTGAAAAATTACCTTGGCCAACTTTAGAAGGTTATATATTAAATGAACTATATATTGTATGTGTTATATATAAAATATTACATTACTGTAATTTATCACTCTATTAGCTCAATAAACCTTTTTTTTTTAAAAATATATTTTATTGATTTTTTACAGAGAGGGAGAGAGATAGAGAATTAGAAACATCGATGAGAGAGAAACATCGATCAGCTGCCTCCTGCACATCCCCCACTGGGGAAGTGCCCACAACCCAGGTACATGCCCCCGACCGGAATCGAACCTGGGACCTTTCAGTCCGCAGGCCGACGCTCTATCCACCGAGCCAAACCGGTTTCGGCAAACCTTTTTTTATAATGAAGTAAAAGGTACATTTTGGCGAAATGTTATTTATTTTTCACAAGTCATATGTTAATACGACCCCAAATTTCACCAGAATTTTCTTAGCTGTGAGGAGAAACCAAGTTCTTAGAACAATGGCTCCAAGTCAAGAGGGTGTGGCATTGTTAATGAGCAAAATTTGGGAGCCCTGGGAAGAAGGCAGGGGAAGAGGGAGGAGATGGGAGAAAACAGACTTGCAGACTCAGCTCTGCCTGAGGCTGGAAGTTCACCTGAGACAGGAAGTGAGTAATGAAAAAGGTCAGGAGACCAAAGGGCAAGGGGGTGGGTCTAGGGAATGCAGAGCAGAAAAGGTGACAAAGGAAATTAGCCAAGTAGTAACTGAAGATACAAAATAGGCGATTTCTTAACTTTTCGGGTCA